GATTTTCTGACTCCAGCTCTCTGCACATTTCATTATAGTCTCTTGCTTTGTCGTCCCAAGCTGCCTTTTGAAATTTTCTGTTCAGCTCTTTGATTTCTTGATGTCATCCTTTAGCTTTGGTTTCTCGGCGCTCTAATGCAATCTGACATCTATCTTGGTCTTTTCTTCTTCTTCAGCCTTTATAATGATCTTTGGTATTCTTCATGGACGATTTTCTTGATATCCTTCCAGAGCTCACTTGGTCTAGGCTCATTGGTGCTCAAGGCCTCAAACCTGTTCCTGAGATGGTTTTGAAATCCCAGTGAGACAGACTTAAGGTCAAATCTTGGTTCCCATGGACTTGATTTAATTTTCCTCAACTTTAGCTTGAACTTGCATATGAGTATTTGGTGTTCTGTTCCCACAATCAGCACCTGGCCTGGTTTTCACTGCTGATATTGAGCTTCTCCACCGAGTCTTTCCACAGCTGTAATCAACTGATTCCTATGCATCAAGTGAGATCCATGTGTATAGCCTGCGTTTATGTTTCTTATAAAAGGTATTTGCAATAAATAAATCATTGAATGTGCAGAACTCTATCATTGTATCTCCAGCCTTGTTTCTCTCACTGAGCCCATGTTTTCCAGCTACTGATCCTTCTTTCCTATTCCCAACTTAAGTGTTCCAGTCGCCCATTATTATTAATGCATCTTGATTGCATGTTGGATCAATTTCTGACTGCAAAAGTTGGTAGAAATCTTCTATTTCCTCCTCTCTGGCTCTAGTTGTTTGTGCATATATTTGAATGATAGTGGTATTCACTGGACTTCCCTGTATGCATACGGATATTATCCTGACACTTACTACATTGTATTTCAGGATAGATCTAGAAATGACTTTTTTAATCATGAAACCAACCCCATTTTTTCCTCACCTTTTCATTCCCAGCATAATAAATCATACGATCATCTGATTCAAAATGTCCCATGCCAACCCATCTCATTTCGCCAGTACCTAGTATGTCAATATTTATGTGTTCCATTTTTTCCTTAACAATGTCCAATTTTCCTACATTCATGCTTCTCACATTCCACGTTCCAATCACCACTGTCTTCTTACAGCTGTTCCTCTTTCTCCATGTTTCAATTTCTAACATCTCAGTTTCAATTGCCACATCTGTTAGACCAAATGATAGTCTAAGTGTGCTCTATTGTACATAGGGTTTTTGAAGGCCTGTAATTTTGGAAGTCAATAATCTAGGAATAGGAAGACAAATTAACAGGCTAGCACAGTTATTCAAGGCTGATTTGTAAAGGGTCTAAATTAAATAATGCAGTTGTCATTGTTAGATGCTGTTGAGTGGTGTATGACACAAAGTTACAATACAAACAACATATCTGAACCCTATCCTAGCCTGTGCCGTCCTCACCATCTCTGATACACTTACGCCCATTTCTGCAGCTGCTGTTTCAATCCATGTCATTAACGGTCTTCCTCTCTTTCACTAACCCTTTCATGTGTGATGCCTCTTTCCAAGGAATAGCCTCTCCTAGCAACATGCCCAATGTATATGAGATGAAGTTTTTCCATCTTAGCGTAAAAGGAGCACTCTGGCTGCACTTTTCCCAAGACATATCTATTTGGTATTTTAGCAGTCTGTGGGATATTCAGTAATCTTCTCTAATAACACAACTCAAAGGCATCGATCAATAAGGCAGTTAGAGAAGCAGAAAAACAATGATTGATATATTTAAGAGACACTATGAAATAAAACTGATAGGACTTCATTTGTGTTAGAAGCTATGAGAAGTATGCGGTACATTTTGCTCTCAAGAGCTCAATCACAGGAAAATCTGAACATGAGTTACCATCAAACCCCCAAAACATAAAACAGGGCAAAAGGAACTACTTAGTAGTTCTTAGTGAATTGTGCTGCTAACCCCAAACTGGCACCTTTTTAGGGGTTTGAATCCATCAGCATCTCTGCAGGAGGAAGACAGACAATCTCCTCCTGTGTGATTTACAGCCTCCAAACACCTGTTGGAAGGTCAGCTGTGAGCTGGTTCCAACTAGACAGCAGTGAGTCTGAGCTTTTTCCTATAAGCCAACCGAGGCTGGTTAAGGACAGCAGCTTTGATTATGCATGTCTTTAGCATAATCTGTTCTAAGCGTTCTCAGGCACAGAACTGGCTTCTCTGTATCATACCTGCACCAGATTTCAAACTGGACTCCACCTCCAGGTACAAGCCCCTGGGAAGAGAAGGCACTGAGTAAAAGCCTTTGCACTGGAACTTCAGCAGGCAACACGAGTGAGTGATGGTGCTCACTATTAAAGATGGGATCTGGAACACACAGTGTGGTTGCAGATCTGAAGGGCTTCAGAGTAATTCCTTTGGAAAAGAAGGAAAAATCAGAATAACCCAAAATGTCACTTAATTTTATATCTGTAGTAAGAGACATGCTAATACCTTATATACAGTCCTTTAAATAAAAAGTATTTTAATATCCAGGACTCAGTTTTATCCACAGTACTTTTGGGAAAAAACCAAGCAGGTATTATTACTCCTATTTTACAGATAAGGATGTGAAGAGGTTAGGTAACTAATCCAAAGGTCTCAAGAAAGAGCAGATGATGGACATAGAGCCAGAACCATGTCTTCTGATAGGGATACACCTCACGGGATCCATTTCTCCCCATAAAAGTACCATGACAACACAGAAGGGAAAGACCCCAGTGCTGGATTTTATAGATCATACCATGTCCACCTCAGTATAGAAACTGGACAATATCCAGGTCCAAGTTTAAGCAAAAAAAGAGTATAAAAAATGTTTTAAACTTGAGATATAAACCACATACAATATTCATCCCTTTAAAGTTTATAATTCAGTGGTTATCAATATACTCACAGGGTTGACCAACTGCCATCACTATTCAATATTAGAACATTTTCACCATTCTTAAAAAAAGTTCTGGATTCACATTAGCACTTCCTCTTCTTCTCAGCCCCTACCAACTATTAATCTATTTCTTTATCAACGAATTCACTTATTCAAAACATTTCACACAAACTGAATCCTACAGTATGTGTTTCCTTTTGTGCCTAGCTTCTTTTATTTACCATGTTGGGGTTTTAAAAATTTTTTAATTTGTCAGACGGGTAATGTGCCCACTGTGTAACAAGGGTGGCACATGTCATACAAAAGCATGAACACCCAATCATCATGCTTATGAACCGGGAAAGGATCTATTTAGCATGTTTTTTTAAGGCTGGTTCATGTTGTTCAGTACCTCATTCCTTTGGATGCTATTCTATTGTAGAGAAATACCACATCTGTTTATCCATTTATCAGCTGATGGATATTTGGTCTGTTTCCAATTATTGGCTATAAACAATTGTATACAGTTTTTGTGTGAACACATTTTTTTTCAATTCTTTTGCTAGATACTCAGGTGCTCTGTTTGTGTAGAAATTAAATGCTTGCCTACTAACTAAACGGTTGGCAGTTCAAGCCTACCATCAATCTACTTTCATAAAGATTATAGTTTTGGGAACCTTATGAAATAGCTCTATTCTGTTCTTACAGTGAGAAGACTGATATAAGTCAGAATTAACTTGATGGCAACAGGTTGTTGGGTTTTTTGGTAGGTACTTATTTGGTAACTCTTGTAAGGAACTGTTAGACTACTTTTTTTTTTTTTCGGATTTCCATTCATTTATTGTTGCACTTTACTCTCTCTGTACTGCTCCCCACCAGTTCATTCTTTTCTTTGAAAAGTAAAATTCTTTCATTGTTATACAATCCCTCCCCTCAAGTCCACTCCACTATGCAGTCTTTGTTCTGGACTCCTGTCATGACAATACCTAATCATATATCCCCTTTTATTTTTTTTAAATTTAGGTTGTTTATTTTTCATTTCAATGAACATCTACAGAGATTTTGGGATTCCATTCATTCATTGTTGCACCCTTTAGACTACTTTTACATGTAGCAGTCTGGAAATTCTGACTGAAAGAAAACATAATAACAGAAGATGTCACAGTTACCCCTCGATGTCAATGAAAAGTCTTGTGAGTCCACTGATTAAACAACTTTGGTGCCAATAATGCAGGGAATGTAACAGCCAGTATGCTGAGGACTTATACTGACTAAAGGTCCATGACCAAAAGGTAGAAGCCATCATATTCCCAGATGGGGGCAGACAGGACACTTCAAAGGGAAAGTGGGTGGAGCAACACAGATTCCATGGTGGAATCATAACTGAGGTTTTAAAAACAGGGAAAGCATTTGTCCTAAAGAGCTGAAGAGCTCCTTGTGTCTGTCATTAAGTTTAAAAGAGAGGTCTTATTTCATCTTGTCCTTGAGCACATAAGGGAGTACTGACTTTTGGAAATTCTATCCCCTTTGTTCTAAATCCATGGGGATCCCTCTCTATCAAAAGTAACCAGAAGAAAAAATTAATGGTATGATACATCCTCCACCAAGCATTTGCCTTTTTGGGCCTCTTTTCATCATCGCCTTTTTTTAAAAAACTGTGGTCTTAATGAAAGTTTACAGAAAAGTTGGATTTTCATACATTCATTGTTGCACATTTTTCTCCCTCCCTTCCCCCTTCCCCAGTTCACTTCATTTTTTAAAAAGATTCATTCATTGATTGTTGCACAATTTCCTCCCTCTCCCCTAGTCCACTTTGCAATGCACCCCTTATTCTGGACTACTGTCACACAAATAATGCCTAATATACATTCCTTTTAAACAGGTCTTTCCTTCATCTGGTCAATGCAGTGTTCATTATCTATCTCCTCTTTTCCTTGTTTCCGTCCATGTCAGTCTTGTTTTTTAACAGTGATGCTATGCAGTATTTGTCCCTTTGTGACTGAGATATTTCACTTAGCATTATGTCCTCCATGGTCACCCATGTTCTGAAATATTTTGAGTTCCAAATTTTTCAGTGCTTCATAGTATTCCATTGTGTGAATATACCATAGTTTATTCGATCCTTTCATTTGTTAATGGGCACTTGAGTTGCTTCCATCTCTTTGCTATAAACATGGATGTGCATGTATCTGTTTGGGTGGCAGCTCTGGTTTCTTTAGGGTATATTCTCAGTAATGGAACAGCTGAGTCCAATGGTATTTCTGTTTTCAACTTTTTGAGGTATTGTCATACTGCCTTTCATAGTCGTAACACCATTTTACACTATCACCAGCAATGAACAGGGGTTCCAAACTCTTCACAATCACACCAGCATTTAATATTTGCTGCTCTGTTGAACTTTGCTATTGTTGCTGGGGTAGGCCTCTTTTTAACATAAATATAGTAAGAGGATGTAATATACCAACTGTGTATAAAATGGAGCAAAACTACATAAATGAATGCATAACTAAGGCAATAAAACTCAATATATACCGGAAAATGTAATTATGACTTTTTTTTCCTAAACAATCTGTTACTGTTAACATGAAAAGGAATCCAGAAATATTTATTCCAAATAGTGTGTTTAGTACTTTGTAAAAAAGTAATGCTGTTGTTTTGTGCTGTTAAGTTGCTTGTGACTCATAGCAACCTTATGTACAACAGCCCTACACCCTGCTCTATCCTGTGCCGATCTTACTGTCTCTGACACATCTACCCCCAATGCAATTCATCTCTTGATTTCCTGGCTGTTAGTACCAAGAGTGTTGATTGTGGAACTAAACAATAAGTAACATTGTTGTTGTTGTTATGTGCCGTCGAGTCACTTGCGACTCATAGTGACCCTATGTACAATAGCCCTAAACTCCGCTCTGTCCTGTGCCAATCACACTGTCTCTAACACTCCCATCCCGATTATCCCAGTCACTGAATCAATCCACCTCATAGAGGGCCTTCCTCTCCTGCGCCATCCCTCCACCCTCCCAAGCATGATGTCCCTCTCCAAGGACCGGTCTCTCCTCACAACATGTCCAAAGTAAGTTAGACAGAGCCTCAGAATCCTTGCCTCCAAGGAGCCACCCGGTTTAACCCTTTCCAGGACAAATCTGTTTGTTTTCCTAGCAGTCCACGGTATTCTCAATACTCTTCTCCAGCACCACAGCTCAAAGGCATCAATTCTCCTTCTATCCTCCTTGGTCATTGTCCAACTCTCTGATGCATAACAAGTGATTGCGAAGACCATAGCCTGTATCAGATGCACCTTAGTCTCCAGAGAGACACCATTGCTATTCAGTACTTTGGAGAGGTCCCTAACAGTAACATTAGCATCTTAAAATTTCTGAATTAAAAAAAAAAAAATTTTCTGAATTGTTGGAATGTGTATACATTCCAATCTAATGTGTTTCTAAAGTCCTGATTCTAATTCCTGGTAAGAAAAGTGAAGAATGAAAGTGAAGGCAATTTAAGCTCATATAAACTTAAATGGGGAATTCCCAACCTGGATAATATGTAATGAGCAAAGCCTTTGGTTGGTCCAGATAAATAATTTCAAAGGTATTTATTGCTGTTTATACCAGAACATCTATACTGTGGGGAAGACATTTTGTTTCTTATCACAAGCCCCATAGGCAACCTCTGGTCTGTCTTCTCTAGTGATGACTTGTTAATGAATTAATTTTTTTAATTTCCATCCATTTATTGTTGTACATTTTCGTCTCTACCAACCCTTCCAATTCACTTTTCTCTTTGAAAAAAAATTTCTTTCATTGTTGTACAATTTCCTCTCCCCCATCTCCCTGACCCCAGTCTACTATGCTATACAGCTCTTATTTTGGATTAGTGATGACTTGTTAATTCAAAGGTTTGCTCCCACTTGTCCACTCTACTTTCCTCCAATGATGGTGATTCAGAGATAAAGGGTAGACTTTTCTCTTTGCTATGACCCAGGTTTTCAAATTGTCTGTGTTGTTCTAGAATTTGGCCCCAAGGAGGGGTGCTGGTCACAGAGGTTCAAGTATTCCATCCAGAAACCAAACACCACATTGTTATGTGTTGTTGAATCAACTACAACTCATAATGATCCTATGAACAACAGCTCTGACCCTTGCCTTACTCTGAGCCAACCTCATCATCTCTGATACACTCACTTCATCTCACTGCAACTGTCACTGTGTCAGGCCATCTCATCCAGAGTTTTCCTCTCCTGCTCTGATCCTCTACCCCTTCCAAGCATAAAGTCTTTTCCAAGGACTGGTCCTTCCTGGAAACATGTCTACAGTATGTGAGACAGAGCTTCAAAATCCTTGCCTCTAAGAAGCAACATGGTTTCACCCTCTCTAGGCCAGATCTTAGAGAGGGACATCATGTTTGGGATGGTGGAGGGACAGTACAAGAGGAAGACCCTTGATGAGATGGATTGATTCAGAGAGTAGGGTAATGGGGGTAGGTGTGTCAGAGACAGTGTGGTTGGTACAGGATAGAGCAGGGTTCCGGGCTCTTGTACGTAAGGTCACTATGAGTTGCAAGCAACTCGATGGCACACAACAACAACAACAATAACAACAACAACAACAACAACAACTCTTTATACTCAAAGCTTGAAAGAGCCGTAAAACAAGTAGAAAGAAATTGTGAATCTGAAGCGAAGCTTGTTTTTTCCTTGTTTTGTGCAGTGATGTGTGGATGTTAAACAGTGTGCCCTTGTGTTACCCAAATCCAGCTGGCCTACCTATTTCAGTATCAGCTAATTGAGATAACACATTTGGAATAGCTGTATGAGCTTCACGTGAGAACTCTGCTGACATTGTCCAAGGGGCACTCTGCTGCTAACTCAAAGGTGGTGCCACTCTGTTGGTTCAAATCCACCAGCAGTTCTGAGGACAAAAAATGGACAATCCTCTTCCACGTAATCTAGGGTCTCTGAAAACTCACTGGAGGGTCAGCTATGAATTGGCTCTAATTCAATGGAAATAAGTCTGAGTTTTTAGTTTCCATGAGCTTAATTGCATTTACTTTCATCCTTCACATTTAACAGGAGTTAGGAAAAATGTCCATTTCTTCTTTTCTGATGTTTTTATTCCCTCACTGTTTAAAAGAATAACCCTAAGTTAAACACTGGATTCAGTGCTTGCTGGGAAGGTTGTGGGTTTCTTGTTGATGACTATACTGCTGTCAATGCAGGGTAGATATGTTTTCAAATAAAACAAGATTGTGTTACAAAAAGTAATAAAATGCTAAAGAACAAGGATTGCACTTTAAGGACTATGGTGTGCCTGCCCAAGCAATTGTATTTCCAATTATCTTAGATGCATTTAAAAACTGGACAATGCCTGCTGGAGAAGGAGGAACAATCTCCTCCTGTACCAGTCAGATCTGATTTGACAGTACACACAAAAAATAATGAAATAAAATAAATTAAAACAAACAAACAAACAAACAAACAAAAAAACCCAAACCCTGGACAATGAATAAGGAAGACTGAAGAATTGATAATTTTGAATCGTGGTGCTGGTACAAAATACTGAATGTAACATCAATTTTCAAGAGGACAATCAAATCAGTCATAGAAGAAATGTGGCCAGATTTTCCCTTCAGAAGTGAGAACAGTGAGACTTCATCTCTGTACTTGAGTATGTTATCAGAAGGCACCAGTCCTTGGTGGGAAGTTATCATTCTTGATGAAGGTGAAGAGGGTCAGTGAACAAACTGTTCAATGAGATGGGTTAACAAAATCACTGCGATAAGGGTAAGCAGAGCAGTGATAATGAGGATGGGGCAGAACTGGACTGTGCTTTGTTCTGTTGGACGTGGGGTAGTTATAAACTGGTGTTGACTTGATGACATCTAACAACAGAATAAAAACATTCCAGAGACCAAATTACTAACAGTGGTTGAGAAGCAATGTTTCTGATATGAAAAAGCATGCTTACTATGGCTCAGAAAAGTTAATATAAAGGGAAAGAATGAGGAAGCACACTAAAGATAATAAATGGAGTAAAATGTAAATACAGGTGGCTCTAGATAAACAGCATACAGAAGTTCTTAGTACCGTTCTTGCAACAGTTTTGAAAATTTGTTATCCTACATATACACATTTTATAATACATTAAGAAACTCCCTTCTATAACCCCCCAAAATGAGTGTATATCTTATTTTATAGTCCAAATAAGTAAGACTAGAAGCATTCTATAGTAAGAGCCACTGGCTGAGTCAATTCCAACTAAAAACGACCCTCCATTGGGTTTCCAAGGCTGTAAATTTTTATGGGAGGAGACTGTCCACCTTTCTTCCAAGGAGTGACTGTTGCTGTTCTTGTTGCTGTTAAGTGCTGTCAAGTCAGGTATGACTCATAGCAACCCCATGAACAAAAGTCCTGAACTCTGTTCCTATAGTCGTCTTTAAAATAACTATTATAATTTCTCTATGTTTTCAGAGGTATGTAGTTTAGGAAGTGAATGCCATTCCTGCTTCCAAAAAGGAGTGACTGGTGGATTCAAATTACTGACTTTTTGGTTAGCAGCCTGATATGTGATGTGCTACACCACCAGAATCTCTGAGCTCTAGTGGCTAATAGGATAAGGAATTGGGCTCCCATCTCAAAGACAGGTGGTTTGAATCCACCAACTGTCCTGAGGAAGAAAGATGGGCAATCTCTTCCCATGTGATTTACAGCCTCCGAAAACTTGCTGGAGGATCAGCTATGAGTCAGCTCTGATTTGACCGCAATGAGTGAGGGAGTGAAATAACAAGGGCTCCTTAGAAACATTCAGGAACACAAAATTCACACTGGAAAAAGCTGCTAACTATATGTACAAAAATAAGGAAGCATAATTTCTTAAACTTACCATTTTCAAAGACCTGAGATCCTCCTAGCATACTAGATTTATTAGATTCTTGAGCTGGAAAGTAGTATTGGACATAACAGTCTGCTTCTCCCCAGACTGTTGCTTGAAGAGGGGCTAATCCTTTAACCTTCTCTACATGGAACTCAAAGTGGTGCTCCACCATTCCACTTCCCTGGTCCTCTGCCTGTGAAAAGAAACATAAGCACTGATGGACTGTACAGTAACTTGCTCAGAATATTCCCGCTGCTCTCTGAAATCTGAGTACAGATGAACAAATAAGGATAATTAGTGAACACTAAAACAAATTCTTAGTTTTCACTGTTAGTTTAAAGACTAAGGTGTGCCTGATGCAAGCCATGGTCATTTTCATTGTTTCCTATGCAGCTGGACAATGAATAAGAACTGATGCCTTGGAATTGTGGTGTTGGAGTTGTTGTGTACCATCAAGTTGGAACCAACCCATAGCTGACCTTCTAGCAGGCTTTCAGAGGCAGTTAATAGCACAGAAGGCTGCCCATCTTTCTCTCATGGGGCAGCTGTGAACCTCTGCGTTGGCAGCACGATTCCTTACCACTAAGTCACCACACTCCCTGAAGACTGAAGTTCCTTGATGCCTTTGAGTTGTGACGTTGGAAGAGTACTAAATATCCAGTAGACTGTTAGGAGTAATAGATGCAAGATGGTGGGACTCTGTCTCACATACTTTGGGTATACTGTCAGGAAGAACCAATTCTTGGAAAATCATGCTGGCCAGGTGGAGTGAAAGAGAGGAAGATTATCAACAAGGTGGATGGAGACAGTGACTGTAATGATGGGCTTAAACACTGAGAATGATACATGATATGGCAAGGTTCAGGTCTATTGTTCAGACTTCACCACGAGTTATAGTCTATTTGATAGTACAAAACAGCAACAACAGCAGCAGCCTCACAGGCAAACCTTTTAAGAACATCCCGTAAGTTCTTCTAATATATTAAAAGAACATTTTTAATATAGTATGAAATTTAACAAACCTGACATCTATGCTACAAAGAGATGGTCAAGTAACAATCAAAAGATTTGGGAAAATTACAGATGATTTTTCTTATTTATACTTGTAGTTTTTCAATTAAAAAACTATTATTTAAAAAACAAACAACTGTTATTTAATGACAGACACTGAACATCTAACAGAAAAACCCCCAAAGTTTATAGTTCTTAGAAGAACAACCCCCCAAAAATCCCTCAATCTCCTACTAAAAGACATTTTACTAATTTTTTTTAATTGTTGTTATTGCCTTTGAAGTAAGCACAACTCATAGCAACCCTAAGAACAAAAGCCCTGAAGCCTTTCTATAACTATGGACATTTATCAAAGTTCTTAGAGTTTCCAGAGGCATGTTGTTTAGGAAGTGGAGATATATAAATTTATAATTTAGTTTTTTTAAAAAATGACATACTTAAATAGTGTGGAAATGAGATTTGACTACATTGGCTAGAACAGTAACTCAACTATAATGGACCTGATAGAATTAGGACCAGATTTGGGAGTGAGAAGATCTGCGTCTGAGCTCCAATTTTCTGAACATTTTGAGTTATTTGTCCTTGGACAAGTACCACATCCTCTGTGAATCTTACAATGATTGACCTCACAGAGTTCGTAGGAAAAGAAAAAACCAAGGTAAAGTATGTTCATGTGCTTCAATTGTTTTTCAACTGTAGAGCATTGTTTGAAACAAAAGATTTTTTTTAAAAAAAAAACAACTATATTAGTTTGCTTACGAAGTTCAGATGAAACAAATTACTTTTAAATTCTAACAGGTGAGCAACGAAGCTCCTTTAAGCCTTATCCAGGTAACCAAGCTGGATTTTGCTATCTTATATTTACTTTTTTATACTACCTCCACTTTCTAAAATGCAATTAAGAAAATGATAGGATTAGGATTTAGTTGCATAGATTTTCTTTACACATTCAGGGAGTCGAGAAAGCTGAGATCTGTTTAAACTTTATCAGTAAAATATTATTGATTCATTTGATTTCTAGTAAGCCTTAGAATGCCTGCCAGATATATTTTCATTCAGACTTTCACTACTGGACTGGGGATTGGGATGCTGTTTTATTAAGCGAAAAGATATTGGCAAGATAAAATGAGTTATGATTTTTATGAACAATCAAGTATTTTAGACAGCACCTTAGCAACAGAAGCTTTAGATGGTTGATCCAGGAAATGAACTGGTCTAGGGCTGAAGGGCGGGAGTGTTCCTTCTTCATTCTTTAATCTCTGAAACGACAGTATCTGCTCTGAAGAACCCATAGCTAAAAAGACTCGAAGACTCCCGTTTTGGTGACCTGAGAACACATCAATCACAGGCATGTAGTTGTCCACTGCGACAACTGGGTACTGAGCCTCAAGCAGCAGGTGAGAAATCTTGGGATCTCTAGAGGGGGAGAAATTACAGATGGGTAAATAATAATCATAAAAACAACATCATCAATCATATTACAGAGCTGGTTCCTTTCTTACTTGGCCTGCTGTTTGAGTTTGTTAAAAACAGAAACACATTAGAAAAGTAGTGTTGTTTAAGGCATGGTTTTATTAGTAACCCAGCAAACAAAAATTACTAGGCAAGCAATTTAAAAATGTAGCAACTTAAGGGCAGTTAATAAATCTAATTTATTAATGTTATTGTCACAACCATAATCTAGTATCTAGGATTGAACGTTGTGTCAGTGAAAGTCTCTTGAACAACACTATTTTAGAGTGAGTTAAGTTTGGAAAACTTGAAAGAATGTGGTTCTGGGGTAGGCAAATTAGATTTGAATAATATTACCAATAATATCTATCTACTGAGCATCCATCTACCATTTGGTATTAGCAGGCATTGCTAACAATGCAAAGGTTGGTATTAACCACCATTAGTGTATGCTGTTGCTGCTGTGTGCCATTGAGCTAGCACTGACCCATAGCTGACTCTCCAGGGGGTTTTCATAGGCAGTTTATCACACAGGAAAACACTGCTCATCACACTGTTCATCCTTGTCTCTCGGGGCAGCTGGTGGATAAGAAACTGAACCTTAACAGTGTGCCTTTGGGATTATAGTGCTGCTTCTTACCATGAGGCCACCAGAGCTCCCTATTAGCAGATGAGAAAAGCTAAATTCAGAGATGTTAAGTAACTGAGTTATGGATATGTGACCTGTAGGCAGTTAAAGTAGTGTTCAAACTAATCTACATGGGGGGAGCTCTGGTGGCCTAGTGGCAAGAAGCTGCACTGCAATCCCAGAGGAACATGGTTCGAATCCACCAGACGCTCTGCCGGAGAAGGAGGCGCAATATCCTCCTGTACCAGTAGGATCTGATTTGACGGTACACGCACACAAAATAAAAAAATAAAAAAAACCCAAAAAAAACAACAACTAATCTACATGATTTCAAAGTCTAAATGCTCTTCACTATACCAAGCTGAATTTTAGCTCTGCCTCTTACTTGCTGTGCACCTAAGTAATTTAACCTGAATCTATCTCATCTGTAAAACAGACAATTCAACTCCATCACAGTATTGTGAAGACTAATAAATACAAAATAGCAATGATGATGCTTAATTCCTGGGAGATATTCAGTAATTGGTATTACTTATATTATGCTTTCTCAGAAGACAATGGAGTTTAATGGATTGAGGTGGTTGTTACTGTGAACCGAGTCAGAACCAACCCACATCTGCCCCTCCAGTGGGTTTTCAGAGGCAGTAAATTGCAAAGGAGACTGCCCATACTTCTCCTGTAGGAGCAGCTGGTGGATTAAATTTGCACGCCTTTGGGATTGCAGTCCAGTTTTTACCACTAGGCCATCAGAGCTCCAATAGGAATGACGAGAGTAGAGAAATATCAGACAAGACTTATCACAAGTAAAAACAAGGAGAAAAGCCAATAGCCTATAGCTGAGAGTGCCATCTATATGACTCCAGCAATATTCCTCAGCTAGATCATGCTTTTCAATGTTACTGTTATCAATATTCAACTAGTGATGTAAGGCTCACTAATTTATTTTCTCACTGGATCCTGATAATTAATACTCCACAAAAGATATAAGGGACTATTTTATCTTCATTTTATAGATAGAAGTTAGAAGAGCTGAGAGGTTAAATGAGTTCCTGCCAAAGGAAAGTTGAGGAGAATGATAATATTTCAGAAGGTTATAGTAAGGTTCAAATGAGGTAGCACCCACAAAAGTACTCTTTACGAAATGTAAAAGACAGCTTCTGGAGAGAGGGCAGTGCCAAAGTAATGAAAAATCAGTACCATTAATCAAAAGAAAATAGTCTGCATTAAAGCTAAAAATAACCTCAGGAGAATCAATACTCTATCAAATCTGAGGCTATACAAGACAATGCTTGCTGATTTCTACAAAAATAGCTGATGTAGGCAATAGTGAAGTTTTTACAGAGGGGTAAATCAAGCATTTTGCGAGGCAATAACTTTTGGCAGTAGCTTCTTAGTGAAGAAAATGGACTCTTGATTCAGATAATCTGAGTTCTAACTCTCGTTCCACTATTTGTGACATAAGTGACAAGTTATTTATTTTCTCTGTGGCTCTGTTGGGCTCATCTTTAAAATAGAAAAAATAACAGTACTTGCCTATAAGGTTTGTTGTGAGGGTTAAATGACTTGATGTATTTAAGGTATTGCGCACAGTGCCCTGACAAACATGGTATTGATGCAAGACTACTTTAAAATATAAAACCATTAATTGTGGTGAGTTTGAGAAATGTCTTCCAAGTTATTACTGAACTTTTCATGCTTACAAATCACAAGAATTCTTCAGTTTATATCATGGTAAACATGCAAAATAAAGAATACTACAAAAGAGCTTATTTACTTGAATGATATGTAAAACTGATGGAGGGGGAGTTTCACTAGCCCGAGCAGCCTGTCTTGTCCTGGGCTCCGCACCTTATTCCAAGTTTCAATTATCATCACATTGTTTTTAAGTCTTTCCAGGTATTTGGAAGACAGAGAGACAGGAATCACCTAGAGAAAGTAATAAAATAGTAAAATTTAAAAATACTCATGCCTTGGATGAAGGCTCAAACTACAATTTTATTCACCAAGAATTATATTCACTGAGGATCTACAGTACACCAAGCATAGAGGTAGGAACTGAAGATGCTAGCATAGAGCCAACTCTGTATCCTCGAGAAAGGCTACAGTCTGGGGTGAGAAACCAACATATAAAAGTCAAACACCCAACAATATGAGCAATAAAGGTTTGATGAGACATTGTAATCAATTACAACAACTAACTGTTAAGTATTACTATAGAAAAGGTGTATGAATGATTGAATGAAAACCTAGTATGACTTATAAGTTTTACACAAATAAAATAATAAGTGAGTGAACTCCCCCAAATAAACAGTATGAACTCCCTGAGGACAAAACTCATATAAATGGGGTTTTGAAGACAGCAAAGGTTGCCAGGGAAGTTACACATGTTGTCTGCCAACCTCATCCAACCCTTTCCACAGGAAAGTAACCTATTCATACACTTTAGTTGAGGGAAGGTTGCTTTAGGAAAAGGATAGCTATGATTTAGATAAAGATTAACATCTTATCAAGGTCAGTCAATCCATTGATTGACATTTTGTGAAATGTCTAGTGCCAAAACCTCTGCTCAGTAGGTGTTATGGTATCTATGTTGCTGTTAGATGCTGCAAGTCTACTACAACCTAAAGCAACCCTATGAATCCCTTCAAGGCTTAGATCAGGTGTACTTCAGTCTTTAAACTGACATCACTGCTCTTCAGCATTTTGGAGATGCTCTTGATAGCAGATTTTCCCAATGTGACAAGTCTTGATTTCTTGACTACTGTTGCCATGGGTGTTGAGTGTGAATCCAAGTATAATGAAATCGTTGACAACTTTTACTTTTACTTCATCTATCATGATGCTGCCTATTGGCCCAGTGGTGAGGATTTTTGTTTTCCTGATGTTGAGATGTACTCCCTATTGAATGCTATAGTCTTTGATCTTCAGCAGCAAGTGTTTTAAGTCCTCCTCGCTTTAAGCAAGCAAGATACATAACACAAATTGTTGATGAGTCTTCCTCCAAGTCTCATGTCACATTCTTCATCATGAAGTTTAGCTTCTTGAATGCCTTGCTAAGTATACAGACTGAATAGTTATGGAGATGGATTCAGTCCTGACACACATATCTTTCTTTTTAAATCACATTCCCCTGCTCTGGTAGGACAACAGCCTTTTGGTCTAGGTATAGGATTACATGTTGTTGTTATATACTGAGTCCACAACAACTCATAAATGCCCCTATGCACAAAAACCCGGGACCCTGGTCAATCCTGAGCCAATCTCATTGTCTTTAACACACTTATGCCCATTACACCAATTACTGTGTCAATCCAACTCATCTGGAGTCTTCCTCTCTTGTGCTTTCCCTCTACCCTTGTAAGTATGATGCCCTTCTCCCAGGACTGGTTCTTCCTGGAAACATGCCCAAAGTATGTGAGATGGAGCTTCAAAATCCTTGCCTCCAAGAAGCACTTGGTTTCACCCTCTCTAGGACCTGTTTTCTCTTGGCAGTCCAATGCTCTTCTCCAGCACCACAACTTGAAGGCATCTATTCTTCTGTCCTCTTTCATCACTGTCCATCTCTCTGATGCATTGCAAGTAATTGCCAAGACCATGGCCTGGATCAGGTGCACCTTAGTCTCTAGAATGACACTACTTCTCTTAGAGATTTTCCTAATGCAATTAGTCTTTTGATTTCCTGACTGCTAGTGCCAGGAGTGTCGATTGTGGAACTGAGCAATCTGGAAATGTTAACAATCTCAATCTCTTCTCCATCTATCATGGTGTTACCAACTAGCTCAGTGGTGAGAATTTTGGCTTCTTGATGTTGAGCTTCAATTCATATTGAAGACTATAGTTCTTGACCTTCTGCAGCAAGTGCTTCAGGTTCTCCTCAGTTTCAGAAAGTGTATTCTGAGATTCCCATTAATATTATCATCAAATAACCATCTGGGTTTTCAATATAAATATTACTCCAGAATTATACAATTAGTTGAAAGAAAAAAGAGAAATCATAAAGCATACTAGTGATTTAGAGATATGACCAACTCAGTTATATTTTCAGGCTCATGAATTTGAAGTCCTTAAAGCTGTATTAACATACACAATAGAGAAAAGTTGTTGTAAGGTGCCATCAAACTGAGTATGAATCATAGTGACCTTATGAACAACAACTCTGAACCCTGTCCTATCCTGTGCCATCATCATAATTTGTGACATAATTGGGCCCAGTGCTGCAGCCACTGCATCAACTCATTCAGACCCTCATTCAGCTGAGGGTCTTCTTCTTTTGCCATCCTTCAACATCTTCAAGGGATACCCTCTCCTAGCAAAATGCCTAAAGTATGTGGGACAAAATTTTGTCATCTTTACCTCCAACGAGCACTCTGGCTGCACTTTCTCCAAGACATATATGTTTGTGACAGTTCTTACCTCATAGAGGAAAGAGAAATCCTTATAATGAAACCAGTACAAAACATGAAGCAAAACATGGGGAGCTCTGGTGGCCTAGTGGCAAGAAACTGAACTGCAATCCCAGAGGAACACGGTTCGAATCCACCAGACGCTCTGCCGGAGAAGGAGGCGCAATATCCTCCTGTACCAGTCAGATCTGATTTGACGGTACACGTACACAAAATTAAAAAAAAAAAAACAAAACAAAAAAACATGAAGCAAAACAAAATATTCTGGGATAAAGCTTAGAAGGCAGAAAAGGGTAGGAGAGAAGGAGTACTGGAAAAGGGAAACACAGGGAGAAAATGAAAAGCCGCTGCTACGTTGTGGATACTAAAAGCAATGCCACAAAGCAAAATGTTTGTGAATATTTGAATGAGAAACCAATTAGTTCGGAAAATGTTCACCAAATCACAATTAAAAAACAAAATCTAAAAAAAAAATGAATACACGAATACTGAAATAAATGAAAGAATAAATGAATGTGAAGAAAAAGTAAAAGAGAGATTAAAAATACAGAAAATAAAAGAGGAAAACTTATTAAAGCTCTACAGAAAACAAAAAGAAATAGAATTTACAACTCAGAGAAAATGGATAGTAGAAAACCAGATCAACTGAAATGGAACAGAAAGACAGATATAAAAAGGCAAAATGCTGGAAGCATCTTCTCCTCTTGCCATTTAATTGGCTGGCACCCTAAAGTTCTGCAAAGGTCCCTTTCAGTATGAACACTGTAGATTTTTCTTCAGACACAATTGTCATTTGGGAAATATTTCTGTCTCCTATCCTCAGACACCTTTAATGTATATGGAATGCTAGGACATGGATGAAACTACCTGAGAAAAATTAAAGATTGGTTGTGGTGTGCCCCAGGCGATGACAGATCTGGTCACTTCCTCTGTGCTGAAGAGTTTAAAATTTAGATAAACATTGCATGGAGGTTGTTTTTCAGATTCTCCAGTAATGAAATCTTTCCCGTCTGGCACCATTAACAGCATATGCAATAACAAAGCACTCTCTTTTGCTGACTCACTAGTCAGATGTCCTAAATTCTGAGAGGCTGGCGGAGCCACGACAGTTGAAGGATTTGGCAATACAGGGCTTGGCAGCTTTGGATGAGAGAGTAACAAATTCTGTTCTTTCTTTGTAGTTTCCTCATGAATTTCACTTAGGGATTGTAGATTTCTGGCCATAGTAACATGTTGGTTGGCTTCTGGTAGTATCTTATCTTGACTTGTAAGAGCACAAAATGAGGTGTATTGAGTATTGCCACTCAACTTATTACTAACACCACTGAAATCTTTGTTATCTATAACAAGCTCCACAGTGACCTATAAAATACAAACAGAAACAGAGTTAGTAACACTTTAACTTGCCAGGCCCAAGAAGCAGTTAAGTGTTCCTAAATTGGGAAAATGTTTAAAAGCTATAAAAGTCTATAGCACAAATCTTGGGCAATTTAAGTAATTCAGATAGCCAAAAGGAATAATAAAAACAGTTTATTAAACCAATTAAATAACATAATAATCAATATGTCCATATTGATATAAATAAATATGAAAGAAGGGACAATTCTTCCACAAAGTAGAATTCTAATTTAAAAAGGCACCCTTTTTAAATGGTAAGAGTTAGGTAAATGGTAGTTAGGAAAATCACTATTTTGCAGTCATTATTGTAATGAAGTGACTTAGGTAAATGTAAATTATGGGCAGGCTACAAACAAATGGTATTATATTTTAAGAAATATAAAAAATATGAAAGACAAAGAAAGGCTTGAAGAACTATCCCAGATGGATGAAAGGACACTAGAGAAAGATGTGACAACTAAAAACACTGGATGAGAACATCCAGTATGATGATGGCTGAGTAGTTAGACTGAGACCAATCCTTCTCTAACAAAGATGATAAAACAAACAAAAAAGCAGATACCTGAGGTTCAAAGAAAATTATAAAAAGGAAATTCAAACACCAAATAAAGGAAGAAATTGAACAAAACACCAATTAAAGAGGCAAAACAGAACCAGAAGGGACCCAATATCATGCATCACTGTGATCTTGTCTTTAGGTTGCTCTCAGGGATCCTGCAGGTGCCCAGATTTGCAAGTTATATACCAATGACTGGTTAATGTCAAAAAAAGGTGTGCCTTCCTCTTTCCTTATTCTGCCCCAGGTTTCTCCGGAGTGATCCTCTACCTAACCTGGGCAGGGTTCCCCTTGGCTTTTTCCAGCTCTGCCTGAGAAAAGGCTCACAGCATTTTGAATCTGGGGATTGTGTGCTGTGGTTTCCTGGCTGTAGCACTCACTCTTTATTATAGTGTGCTGGAGATATGCATGCCTGAGAGGGAGAGTTCTTTATCTAACTAGATCCAGGACTGATAAAAGCACAGTCTGGGACAGGGGTCCTCGTACCCAAGTAATCATCCTGGAAGGGCAGTGTGGGGCAGGCCACATCCAGAACTGGAGTAGAGCATCATCTGTGCACTTTCCAGCACAGTCATTGAATATAATGAAATTGGCAGGGGCTGTGCCTCTGGGATAAAACCCTTGTAGCTTTATCAGTAGGATTGTGCTATCCTGAGAAGAAGAATGCGAGCATCTGTCCATCTGGGGTTAAGTGGGGTACTGTATTAGGTATAGATAAGGCATAGGCTACACTAGCCAGGTATACTTGGGGGCTCTGCCTGTGTTCAAAACCAACACCTTAACCTAACATCTCCAACAATTAGAAAAACAATAGCAACCAAATGCTAAACGATCAGAACAGAAAGAAGTGAAACAGGAAAAAAATATTGAAAGTTATCAATAAGAAGCTGGTATTTTGAAAGAATAAAAGATAAAGGAAAAGAAAAAGACAAAAATAACTTGAATGAGAAATTAAATGAAGTCTGTTACAACAGAATCAATTGAAACAAAAAAGACAATAATACTATGAAGAACTATACTTCAACAAATTTAAAAACCTAGAAGAAATTGACAAAGTTTTTGAAACTCGTTGTTTATCTAAAATAACACAGACATTGGTAGAAACTCTGAACAGAACCATTACAAAAGAAGAAACTGAAAGTTTATAAAAAATACTCTCCAAATCAATGAGATCCCTGGCCCAAATAGCTTTCCTGATAAATTTTACCAAACATTCAGAGAAGAGGTGACATCAATGCTACTCAAACTATTTCAGAATATAGAAAAATACAGAACACTCCTAAACTCATTCTATGAAGGAAGCATGATACTAAAGCCAGGTAAGGTACCACTAAAGAAAGAAAATTACAGACCAATATCCCATGTGCATACAAATATATATATATTGAGGCTCAATGTCAAGAAGACAAAGATTCTCACCACTGGACCAATTGGCAGCATCAGGATGGATGGTGAAGAGATTGAGATTGTACACAGCTTTAGTTTGCTTGGCTCCACAGTCAACAGTCTTGGAACCAGCAGCCAGGAAATTAAAAGGCGCATTGCCATGGGAAAGTCTGCTGCTAGGGACCTCTCCAAAGTACTGAAGAGCAATGGTGTCTCTCTGGAGACTAAGGTGCGTCTGATACAGGCCATGGTCTTCGCAATCACTTGTTATGCATCAGAGAGTTGGACAATGACCAAGGAGGATAGAAGGAGAATTGATGCCTTTGAGCTGTGGTGCTGGAGAAGAGTATTGAGAATACCATGGACTGCTAGGAAAACAAACAGATTTGTCCTAGAAAGGGTTAAACCGGGTGGCTCCTTGGAGGCAAGGATTCTGAGGCTCCGTCTAACATACTTTGGACATGTTGTGAGGAGGGACCAGTCCCTGGAGAGGGATATTATGCTTGGGAGGGTGGAGGGACAGTGCAGGAGAGGAAGGCCCTCTATGAGGTGGATTGATTCTGTGACTGGGATAATTGGGATGGGAGTGTCAGAGACAGTGAGATTGGCACAGGACAGAGCAGAGTTTAGGGCTGTTGTACATAGGGTCGCTATGAGTCGCAAGCGACTTGATGGCACATAACAACAACAACAACAACTATATATATGTATATATATATAAAATTTAACAAAATCCTCGCCAACAGAACTTACTAATATCTTATAAATGGGTTTCACACCACATATGTAAGCATGACTCAGCATAAGAAAAACAATCAATATAATCCATCACATCAATAAAACCAAAGTAAAGAATCACAGGATCATATCCATTGATGCAGAAAAAGCATCTGACAAAATTCAACACCCTTTTCTGTTAAACATGTTGAACAAAAAAAGAGGAGAAATTCCTCAACATTATCAAGGCTTGCACACAGAACCAATGGCCAACATTATCCTGTATGGATAGAGATTAAAGGCAATCTCCTTGTCAACAGGAACTAGATAAGAACACCCTCTAACTATTCTTCTAGTTAAGACTGTACTAGAAGTCCTACTACAGCAATAAGGCAAGAAAAGGAAATTAGAGGAATGCAAATTAACAAAGAGAAAGTAAAAACTAAGACCAAGATTATAAAAAAATTTAAGAAACAGTTATACAGATAGAAAATATTCTAGTATAGTTACCAGAGAGAAGCATGGGAGGGAAGCAGAAAATTAGCAAATAGGTAATAAATACTTATTAAGATAGGTGAATGGAAAGAAAATATGGAATAAATGGATCATCAGACACAGTGGGTGCTGAATTAATGTTATGGAAGAAGATGAATGAATGGAAAATAATATGCTTTGTAAACTTTCATTCAAATCACATTAAAATGAACACAATGAATACATGACTGTAGAAAAATTAACTATAAAGGAAAGTACTGACATAATCAGTGAAATTTGAGTTGAGTATGGACTATAGATACAGTTATAATATTAAACTGATTTTCACAACTGTACAGTGTTTTATATTAACAATGTCTTTGTTCTCAAGAAATAGGTATTAAAGAATTTAAGGTAAAAGAACAATAGTATTATGTACATATTTGTTTGCATATACATGTTAAAGGTCACATCCTCAGAGACTTTCCCTGACTACTATCTTACTTCCTCACAGGTGAACACAACAGCACCTATCATTTATTTCCTTTACAGTAAGTGCTTCTATTGCCCTAATTCAATATAAGCACCTTCAGAAGAAAAGAAAGGTCAAACTCATGCTATCAGGTCAGAGCTGATTCACAGGTGACCCTCTGACAGGTGCTCATAGGTTGTAAATTGTATGGGAGAAGACTGCTCATTTTCAGCCCTCCGAGTAGCTGGCTGATTTGAATCACTTGCCCTTGGGTTGGCAGTTAACTATTTACTGCTATATTCTCTGTGCCAGAAAACACTATGGACTCAGTAAATTTTTCTGACTACGTGAATGTACATACCTTGAGGGGGCCAAGTAGAGTCTGACTATTTTCCTGTTTCACTGGAAGTTGGTCACTGAAAGAAAGAAGCTCTGACTGAATGACCAATCGCAAGGGGAGTAATGCACATCCAATTACTTCTGGCTAAGGAAAACGGAAATAAAAATATTAATTAGACATAAAGAAAAAAGTCAATGTAAATATTACAAAAATGTTAATAGAAGTTGTCTTAAAGTTGTAGATTTATGTATTTCCTCTACCTTTCCCTATTTTGCTTTATTTTTTAAAAAACAACAAACCAGTGCGTTATTTATAGCACTGGGGACAAAAACCTCTCACCACTCTAAACAACATAATACTCTGGAACAAAAGAAAATTATACAGTCTTGATGCTACTCATACCAAAACCAAAAAGCCTCCTACTGTTGACTTGATTCTAACTTATAAGAACCCCCTATCACGTTTTTAGGGCAAATTTTTATAGGATGAGCCTGCCCCTCTTTCTCCCTCAGAGTAGCTGATGGGTTCAAACCGTTGACCTTCTGATTAACAGCACAACTTGTAATGCACCAGAGTGTAGGTCAAACGATTACTCTTTAGTGACCAAGACAGAAAATGTTTATTACTTAGTTTACTGATTTATGCTTGCCAATTTTAAACATTTATACAATTGAAATTAGCCAATAAAAATTGCTACCTATATTCTTTTGAAAATAGGATGCTAACTTCTGTAGTTCTTCCTGAAAATAGTAAGTAAAAGTCCAAAAGTATACATATAAGACATATAATCATGTCTCTATTAAGTCTATGTAAATGTAGATAATTCTTCAAAGTAGGGTGGCAACTTAGAGGTGCTAACAGCTTGGGATATAAAGTCTAAAGACTTGGAATGGAGTCTTAGCTTTGCCCTTCCTTAGCCTGAGTGATTATGGATGTTATTTAATGTCACTAAATCTCACTTCCCTTATTTGTAAAGGACAACAAAGCTTTTGTGAAGATAGGATACTATGGTCATATATAGCCTTGAGTGAAATACTGTCTTGGTGCTGGTGTCACTAGTGTGGGAATTCATGATGTAACTTGTACCCCTGAATCCCTATGGGTCTCAATTCATTCCAGACCATATAGAAACTTAGTAATGTTTATTAACAATTTTAATTAACATTATTGTTGTTGTTGATTGCCTCTGAGTTGAGCATGACTCACAGAGACTCTATGAACAAAAGGCCAGACTTTCTATAACTATTGACATTTATTAAAGTTCATAGAGTTTCTGGAGGCATCTTGTTTAGGAAGTGGATGCCACTCTTGCATAACATTATTAATAACAGAGTGAAAGCCATTTTTTATATGTCTCTTTATTTTCTTTTAATTACTTTATTCTCTAAAAAGATACTGATGTTAGTTCACAAATAGTAATTACCACAATATTATAGCTAAGACACTGGAAAATTTGAGAAACAAAATCAGATATTAAAAATAACTGGCATATAGAAAATAAAAGAGCATGTTTATAGTATATTAGAGGGTTCAAAAAAGTAAATTAACACAGTGTTTTAAAAGCCTTTTAGGTATACTGACACATGTAAATGGGCTTACAAAAACGTTTTTGTTGTTATTACCAACTACTGAGACATTTTTATCAAAAAAAGTAAATTATTGCTATTTATTGAAACACTGCACAAAATTTCTACAAAGCCATTTTCTCAGTGTTTCCCAGTGTGGTCCCATCCCTCCAGTGGCATGTCTGTTTTAACATAACAGCTGGCCTATAACAAACAGTAGAAACAGATCAACAACAATAACAACAACAACAACAAATAACAGTAATAATGAAAATTGTAGCCACAAGTGTTGCTTGAGCTTTGAGAATTCCTAGTTTAAGCAGGAATCTAATTTTAATAAAGTATGCTCCAAATCCTTGGGGTGAATAGAAGAAAAAAGGTCACAATCATGTGAAGTACCTTTTTCTGTGGACTTTTCTTTGTGTAAATTTGGAAAGTGAGGTTGGAATTCCACCAGTGTTCTATCATTGCGCCTCCAAAATGCACCGGAAAAACAAATCGCTGCTGGAACTTTACCACTGCAGGAGAATCACATGTTATACCATGTAACTAGCCATATCATCAATCCAGTCTTGAACATTCCTCTATCCCCTTTTATATACAACAGGACTCTACTCAGTGTGATGTCACAGACATTATTAATGTTACAGGTAGGACTGAACAGCAGACATACAAGATAGGTACAGTATATAGAAAAAACCCCACAATGCTTTGTTGCTTTACCTTGCTATAAGAAAGAGCCACACAGGAGGTATGTAATGACACGACACAACACAACTTACTTTTAACTTGTTAGTTAAATTTGTGTCTTCTAGGCTGCAACACTTCCATGATACATCTTCAAGGATATGAACATGTACGGCTAAGCACAACTGATAACAGTGCATCTAAATTCCAAAATCAATCTCCGTAATAGTCTATGTGTTTCCTACTGCCAAAGGGGCCCTTTAGAGTAGTGAGAGAAGATCTTCACCCTGAAACCCACAGCATCCCTTTTCAGCAGGAAGTAGCTAAGAGAATATGTCATCCCCTTTTCCTTATGAATCAGGGTGAAGTCTCTCTCAGGGAGGAGTGATAGGAAATGGCAAAGGACACACTGACAAAGGAGATTAATCAGAACTGGCTTTGACAAGCACTGTGGCAACTGGACAATTAAAACAGACATTCAGGGGGGTGGGGAAGAAGAACGAACTGGGGAGGAAGGTAGAGAAAACAGTACAACAATGAATGAATGAAAACCCAAAATCTCTGTAAATGTTCATTAAAACTAATAAAATTTAATAATAATTAAAAAAAAATAAAAGGGAAAATGGCAGGCATGTGTATCAAGAGGGTTTACATAGACAGAATGTCTGCATACCTAAGAGGATCAGGTGAAGCTTAAGTAGCAAAAGTGAATTAAAAACTTTAACAATCAAAATGAACTTATCTTGCTATTACAATCAGACCATGTACCAGGTACTGACGATATTAGTTACCTGTGTCATGGCGGGGGGGGGAGAGTAAAATTTTTTTTTAATGTAAAGAATGGGATTTCTGTTAGAATAACCAGCATAAATGAGAAGGCATGTGTTTGAATCTGTTCTCACTGCTAGGTGCTATAGAGACAGCTCTGACTCAGAGCTACTGTATGTCCAACAGATAAAAAACTGCCTGGTACTGCCATGCTCATAAACGCTCCTTCTTGAGCCCACTGTGTCAATCTAGTTCACTGAGGGTCTCTCTCTCTTTTTTTTTTTTGTTGACCCACTAGTATAAAAAGCATTTCCAGGGAATGAATTCTGATAATATGCACCTGGTACATGAGTCAGAGTCTCACAACCCTTGCTTCTAAGGAGCATTTTGCTGCACTTTCCTTAAGACAGACCTCTTTGTTTTGGGCAGCCCATGGTATATTCCATATTCTTAGTCAACACTACAGTTTAAGAAGGGTCTTTTTTTAAAAGAAATAGGTAAATATAAGAACTTGGGACAAGAACAAAAAGATGAGTTCAAGTCTCACTTCTGCTACTAGTAACTGCCGCAGCCACGTTCTTCACTTGTACAACGATCTTCCTGTCCATTTATTTCCAAGTCCTTAAAATGGATCTGAAGAATCTTCACAAAAAGGCCAGTTATAGAGAGAAATTTGCTATCTTGGGTATTCAGTCAAACTTTCCCTTCTCTATTCATCTCTGGCTGTCTTAATATTTGATTCTGTGTACTACCTTGGTACCCTTAGGCAATACATAAGTTTTGTTTACTGGGTTGACACACAGGAACGGTGAACAAAATGGATGGCCCAAAAAAGCCCACAACTATTAGACTTAGCTTATCTAGTTGTCTTCTCGGGAGAAAAGAGAATACCTGTAACTCATTGGCGTTATGAGACAATCAACTTGAGTACAAATGGAATTCTATTTCAGCTATCTGCTATTCAGATTTCTCTTCACAACTTAGGTACATTTTTGTACTATATTGTCATATTTTTCCATAAAATTTCTGTACCTTAAGCTCTTTTTTAAAAACCACTAAAAATGACTAAGGGTGATAATGGGAGAGAACAGTCATGAAAATGAAATTCTAACTATGTTCCAGAGAAGTGTTTTTTAGTTTAGTTTTTTTATTTTTTAAAAGATGAGTGGGCAGGGATTTAAAAATTCTTATTTTGGTCCATTTCATTGTCAAGAAGCTCAGAGAAGAAAATAAGATTCTGAGTAAAGTAGGTAAAGTCTGTGGTATCAGTGGAAATATAACCCAGTCTTCCAATTATTGGCTTGATATGTATTCTATACCTAACAAATGATCTTTCTAAGGACATATGGAGAGCCCAACTCCTGGTCAAATGTAGTCATAATACGTGAGAAGAAAACAGTTTAAGAGTAGATGACGTGGAATCAAAATAACTCTAGTTTCAAATTATGGTTATATCATATTGTGGCTGTATGATCTCAGACAAGCTACTTAATTGATGTATGCAGTTTGTTTTATAGTTTAAATAATATGATCTAAAGGTTAGAAGTCTTTAGCTCCAGCCTCAGTTATGTTACTGCCTTACTGCCTTACTTCAGGACACAACACCTCTGAATCAGTTAATGCACTAGCAAAATAAAGGAGTTATGGTTGATTAATTTAAAAATTCTTTCTAGTCAAAGATTATATTGTTCTTGTTATGTGTTGTCGAGTCACCTGTAACTCATGGTTACCTTTTGTACAACAGCTCTGAAGTCTGCCCTGTTCTGAGCCAGTCTCAGACTCCGACACACCTACCTACCCTCATTACCTTAATCACTGTGTCAATCCTTCTCTCATCCAGGGTCTCCCTCCACCCTTCCGATCATGGTGTCCTTCTCCAAGGACTGATCCCTCTTGACCATGTGCCCAAAATATGTGAGATGAAGCTTCAAAATCCTTGCCTCCAAGGAGCAACTTGGTTTCACTTCTCCAAGACAGACCTGTTTGTTCTTTTGGCAGCCCATGGTATGTTCAAAGCTCTTCTCTAGCCCACAAATCAAAGGCATCGATTCTTGGTCTATCATCTTTAGTCACTGTCCAGCTCTCTGATGCACAGCAAGTAATTTCAAAGACCATGGCCTGGTTCAGGTGCCCTTTAGCCTCTAGACTGACATTGTTGTCTCTCAGTACTCTGGAGAGATCCGTGACCACAGATGTCCTCTGGGCAATTAATCTTTTGATTTCCTGACTGCCAGTGCCAAAAATGTTGACTGTGGAGCCGAGCAAGCTGCCACTGTTAACAAACTCGATCTCTTCTCCATCCATCATGGTGCTGCCGATTGGCCCAATGGTGAGAATCTTTTGTTTTCTTGATGTTACGCTTCAACCGATACTGAAGACTACAGAGCTTGACTTTCTGTAGCAAGCATTTCAGGTCCTACTCAGTTTCAGCAAACAAGGTTGTATCATCTGCATAAGTTGACGATTCTTCCTCGAATCCTGATGCTACATTCCTCCTCACAAAGCCCAGCTTCCCAAATGATCTGTTCTGAATATAGATTAAAAAGGTATGGAGACAGGACACATCCCTGACACACTCCTATCCTGATTTTGAACCATGTAGTGTTTTCTTGCTCTGCTCTGAGGACTACCTCCTGGTCCAAGCATAGGTTTCACATGAGCACAAGTGTTCTAAGATTCCCACTCTCCTCAAGGTTAGCCACAATTTCTTGTGATGTACACAGTCAAGTGCCTTTACATTGTCAATGAAACACATATAGACATTCCTCTGGTACTCTTTGCTTTTGGCCAACATCCATCTGACATTGGCAATAATGTCTTTAGTGCCATGACTTTTTCTACTCATATATTATATGATACTATAATTTATAGAATAATATACATGTAATATGCAATATATATGTATAATAATAACAACATTATATAACCCTGAGAATTTCAAATGAATAATTAGGGAGTTAAAAAGCTCTTCAAAAGTCAAAATATCTAAAGAACAGAAAACCAGTCTGTTTCTTACTTCCATCCACAATTTTACTAGAGGCAAGTCGAACAACCTCGGTGATTAAAGCTGTCTTTTCCAATTCACTTTTGGAAAATCCCACAGGAAAGTGATATTCCACAAAGAATGTGCTAAAAAAGTAAAAAAAAAAGGTGGATTAAAATAAGTAAACTAAGTCAGATGAACAGGTGGAACACAAGGCATATTTAGGTTATGAAACAATTCTGTATGGTGCTATAAATAGTAACCATATAACATTAAGCATTTATCAAAATGTATCACTCACTTATTCACTGCCACTCGAGTCAAAACCAAGTCAAAGCATTGGGTGCAGCTGTAACTCACATGGAAGGAAACTGTCTATTTTTCTCCCTTGAGGCTGCTGGTGGATTTGAACCATCTGGGTTATCATTGTAATTCTCTATGGTCTACACCAGTAGAGCTCATAAGAACTCATAGCAATAAGGGAGCTCTGGTGGACTAGTGGCAAGAAGTTGTGCTGCAATTCTGAAGGTGCGCAGTTTGAATCCACCAGATGCTTTGCTGGAGGAGGAGGAGCAATTTCCTCCTGTGCCAGTAAGATCCAGCTTCATGGTACACAACAAGAACAACAACAAAGACAAACAAAAAATCTCATAGTACTATTTAACACAGGGACCTGTATGCACACTGTGTTAGTAATAATGTATCAACACTGGCTTATCAATTTTAACAAATATATCACAGGAATACAAAATAGAGAGAAACAATGTGAAAAGGGGGAAGGAACATATGTAGACTGTATTTTCTGCACAATTTTTCTGTAAAACTAAATCTGCTCTAAAAAAATAAACCATATAAAACAACAACAACAAACCTCAATCAATCTTACACACCTCTGAAGGCCCTATCCAATTCTAGCTCTTCTTCAAAGCCTTCATCAGCCCTTTCAGGGAGAATTAAAGGCTCCTTCCCTTTGGTTTCTACAGCATTTTTAATAAACATCTATCATATTCCTTAAATTCTTATATTATTATAGACAGTTATTTAAATGTTTCTCTCTACTGCTAACTATAGGGTTTTTTGGTAAAAACAAAGTCTAACTTTCTTTATTAAGAAAACTTCTCTAGCATAGTGTGTGGGATTGAGTAGGAGATTCAATAAAGTTTTGTTGACTAACTGATGTATATGAAAGCACTTTACAAACAATGAAGTATTCAAATCTCTGAAGACCTGCAGAAGGGTCAGCTACGTGTTGTCGGTTAACAGATGCAGCTGTGTGTGCATGTGTATGCGTGCATGCAAGTTTCTAGCCGTAGTTTTATTACCTGTAGCTTCATGCAAATGCTACAATCACAATCATTTCCAAATTACTCTTTTATCGTGATTGCATTAACGCTTACAAACTGGTTTTCCACCCAGAAATCAGTATCGGTCTTGTTTCATGGCACTGACCACAATCCTCACCATGAAAAGTACTCTTCCACTTTTACCTGCATCAAATATAGCTTTCTGAGAGAAAAGACATACCGCTTTTTTGTTAAATTAGTTGTCTGTCTAGGTGGTCTACCAGGAAAATTTTTTTTCCCAAGTGTCATCTGAGGACTATCTGGAGGAACTCCCATTGTTTCAATGATGATTCTGACAGAGTGAGTTCTACCCAGAAGGGCTAGTCTTTCCACAGTTAATGCCATCGTTTGAGCATCTTCTGGAGTTTTGGAGAGCATCTGTTGTTCAATCAAGTTTCTGAAAAGAATTCATATAAACATAGTTAAAGACATGATGAGGGATATGGTTAAGAGATGTAAGATGAAACAACATAATTTGTGAAGAAAAGAGAATGGAAGCAAATATTTTAATTCATTAATACTAAGGACTGAGAAAAGGCTTTAATGATCAGAATTATGGTCTTAAACTACAGTGGAAGAAATCTTACAAAATGTTCATATTTTTCTAATCTAAAAGTTTATTTTCACAAAGGTAAAGAAACTGATGTTATAGAAATAGATTTTTCTGCAAGGATACAGATTTTAGTTTTAAATACTAAATGGGATTTTCCATCTCCAAAATAATCAAATAAGTACATATTATAGGGTATTTCGAATGCAGAATAAAGAAAAAAAAATCACTAAATCTACTACCTTATCATAACTACTACTGTTACTTTTTGTATTTTCCTTTCCATTTGCTTTCCAGATACACATATAGTTCTATACAGTTGCAGTAAGAGCCCAGATAGAACCTAGAATTATGTTTGTTCTCTTTACCATTATGACATCCATCTTTTCATGTTATTACATTATTAACAGTTGCAATAGTTACTAAGTTATTATGACTAACATAACCACTCTGATAATGGTGGGAAAATACTTATTACTTAACTGTACGGATCTTTTCAAAAGAATCCTTTTTTTTTTTACTTTTGCCTTTGAACAAGTATTCTCAGAATCTCACCTATTTTTCTTCTCTGTTTCCTTCTTCTTCAGCTTATGATTGTCTGAGTCCAGAAGCTTAGGTGATTTGGCAAGATCTTTTGATTGGCTCATTTTTTTAGAAGGGAGAAGATCATCATCCTCATTGGGGGAATTACTAATGCTGCTATCAGATTTCTACAGGGAAAAGAAATATTTGTCTTAAATACCTTTAAAGACAGTGCAACAATGAATGAAAACCCAAAATCTCTGTAAATGTTCATTAAAACTAATAAAATTTAATAATAAAAAATACCTTTAAAGAAAATACTTTCTACATATATATGATTTCTTTAATCAAAGGATAACTGACACTAAAGAGACAATCCTTTGCTTCTGTTGTTATGTGCTGTCGCTGTCGAGTCACCTGCAACTCCTAGTGATTACACAAACATATCTGAAGTTCAGATAAAATCACCTGACATTCTGGAAAATAACCTTAGAGTTCAATTAAAGGTAAATAAACTCTTAAAAATTCTCACTAATAATTAAAACCAAATCCACGGTTGTGAAGATGATGCCAACCCATAACTACTCTATAGAGATGAGAATAGAATTGCACTACTGAGTTTTTGGAAGCAGGAGTAGCATCCACTTCCAAAAAAGCTTGCCTCCAGAAACTCTATGAACTTGAAGATGAAAGTTTTGTGTTCAAGGTTTTCATTCACAGGAATTCTATGAATCGTCTATGACTCTACTACACTTAATAGCAACATGTAGTCTTTATGGAATGTAACAAAAGGGCTAAAGTACATCAGAGATGGTGACGACGGCACAGGGTAGGGTAAGATTCAGATCTCTTATTCATAGGGTCACTGTGAGCTGTAGTCAGGTCAACAATCTTACTCTAGCATAGTGGTCTGGGAGCTTAAACCACAGATCTTTTTGTTCTTAGCCTAGACCTCTAACCACTACACCACAAAGGCTGTTAATAACAACAATCACTATTTTCTGACTGTGTACTAAGTGTCTGGTGGTGTATGTTAAAATATGTGTGCAAAAAAAAAAAAACACCAAAAACAAAAACCTGTGTGCATTTCTAACATTCATCACATTCTTTTGAGATGTCCTTGTCTCAATTTTTTTTATGTGAGAAAATAAAGGTTTAAAAAAGTTAGGCTGTAAACACTGATTTCCCCCCCCCATTACTCCATTTCACCTATAATTTATTTTGCTTTTCATTTTGCTAAGATGAAGTGTTTATCTTTTTTCTCATATTTCCTTGGCCGAGTCCACACCAATTGCTTTATTTTGGGAAAAGGCATCTATGATAATTAATTGCTAAAGCTGCAGAATCAAGAGGTTATTAACATGGTTATTTGATTCCAAACGAAATAATTTAAAAAATTTAGGTAAATATAACTATCTTTCTAATAATCAATACAAGTTTTGGGTGTTTTTTTTTTCAATACAAGTTTATAAAGACAAAATTGTTAAGACTGTTAGTTTTTTTCTTTATTGAGTGGCAAATTTTAAACATAACTCACAAAGTAATAAAAACAGATTCATAATTTGGTAGGAAGCTGTGCTGTAGTCCCAAAGGCACTTGATTCAAATCCACCGAATGAGCCATGGGAGAAGGATGGGCAATCTCCTCTTGTACAATTACATGCTTCGAAAACCCACTGGAGCATCAGCTATGTAAGGGTTGGTTCCAACTTGACAACAAACAACAATAATTAGCTCCTTATTAATTTTTACTCCCTTCCTTCTCATTCCTGTTATATTCTTCCAAGACTGATTCTGTATGTAAACCTTTTCATAATAGTGGTTTTATACCGTAATTTTCTTTTTTGTGACTGGCTTATATCAATGTTAAATATTCTTAATATTGAATAATATTCATAGCCTAGAAATCCATTATTGCTAGACTGTATTGAAATTTAACTTTTTAAAAACCTAGTTTATACTTACCAGTAGGAATCTTGTTAGCATAAGTTAAAGAACTTAACAGCTAACTAAGAGTCTGGAAGCTCAAAACCTACAGCAGCTCCACTGGTGAAGAAGATGTGACACTCTATCTTCCTGAAGAGTTACAGCCTTAGAAACCCTCTGGGGCAGTTTCATGCTATCCTACAAGGTAACTGTGAATCAGAATCAATTCAATAATTGTTATTATTTATTATCATCGAGTTGGAACCAAACCCTTGCTGACCCTCCAGCAGGTTTTCAGAGGCTGTTAAGTTGCAAGGGAGAAGATTATCCAACCTTCTCCCACAGAGCAACTGGTAAATTTTTAACAAGTGCCTTATAAGACAATGTAATCTAGTTTAAAAAAAAATTCCAGTTATGCCACTTAATTACTTATAAGCAGACTCTAAGCTTTTGTTTCATAGAATGTCTGAGATAATGCAATCTTATGGGGCTGGCCTAAGAATACAATAATTAATTTAAATCATTTGGCATAGTTCTTGGCATATCCTAAAGATCCCATAAAGGGCATATAACATGTAAAGTCTTTGGCATTCAGAATATGTGATATATTTAAGTCCTCTCTCCTATTTAGCCTACAGGTAACATGGAATCAATGATGACTGACATAAGAATGAGCTTTCAAGCATACTTGAATTGGAATACTGGGTCTAACATTTACTTTATGTGTCTTTGGCTAAATTATTTAATCTTAGTAAGCCTCACTGTGATTATACTTTCCTTTACAGGTTGTAATCATAATGAAGTAAGATTGTTACTATTGCTATTAAGTGCCAGCAAGCTGGTTCTGACTCACAAGCCCCCTTATACCCCACAGAATGAAATGCTGCCTGGTCCTGTACCATCCTCACCATCACTGTTGTAGCCACCGTGTCAATCTCACTTTCTTTCTTGCTTTTATTTTTACAGACCTCCAACTTTACCAAGCATCTTATCCTCCAGGAGTGGTCCCTCCTGATAACATAGGCAAAGCGAAAAAGTCTTGCTTGTCTTGCTTCTTAAAAGGAGTATGCACATTCTAAAATAGTTTATATTCTGTCTGGCATGTGGTGACTATGCCTGCAGTTACTAGTATTAATATTCTGGTACTCTCCAAGGCTTCAGGTTCAATGACTTACAGGTATTATATAAAATAAATTCTCCAGGAGACTCTGGTCATACTGAGGGTCATTCAGCTCACTACTGCAGTACACATCACTCCCAGGAGATGGGGAATCTGGAGGAGAGCCGAGCCCATTCCAGTAATGACCTTGAGACAGCTTATCACTGTAGAGAGAAGACAAGCAAAACAAAGAAGCACCTTAAAAAGCCATTTTTGTTGAGCTCTTCTTTTTTAGTGAAAATTTCCTTAAATCCTAGATGTAAAAGAAGGTATGTTAAATGAACATAAGACAAGATATGTTAAACAGAAGACTCACGGTAAGCAGAAAATTATCTGCTAAGTATTTCCAAAACATATTCTCCTTTGGGATATTAACAGCTAAGATTCAAAAACATACAGCTGACATTCATTGTGATCTCACTCAGTTATTCAATAAACACTTATTGGGCACCTATTATTTGTCAGGCTTGTTGCTAAGTCCTGGGTAATAAAGAGATAGTTAAGCTAACAGTGCTTATGGTCTAGAAGGGAAGAAACTAGGTAAACACGTACAATCTAATGAGTTGAGTGTTTTAGGCTGCTTTGTGAAGAAATGGCTGATACATAAAAATTTCTATACTTACATAAGATTAATTATGACTAGATTAGTTCTAAAGAATATAGAAATACACAAAACATAACTTTACTTACAGTTTATAAACCAGTAAGAAACACCTGTAACCTAAGAATTTCTAGGAAATTAATTTCTTCTTTTTTTAAAAAAAAAGTTAAAATTCCGTATTATTCTAGTAACTCTTCTCACAGCTCTCTATTTTCTACCATTTCTTTTAGGTCTTTGTAGTAATTTTATATTTGCTGTTAAAAGTGCAAGTTCCTTGAGGGTAAATTATATATATTTCAATGGTCACTGTTTTTCTTAAAATGAATATGTACTTAACAAAAATGTACTGATGAGGGAGCTCTGGTGGCCCAGTAGCAAAGGAGCAGCATTGCAATCCCAAAGGCGCATGGTATGAATCCACCAGATGGGCAATCTCCTCCTTTGCCAGTCAGATCAGATTCAACAGTACACAAGAAAAGAAAAATAAATTAAAAAAAAAGTATTGAGGAACTTAATGGATTCTTGAAGAGTATCTGTTGTTAGTAACAAAAGTATTTATGAAATATTTACTATATGTCAGGCACAGTAGGAAAAGTGTTAATAATTTATTCTTTCAATTTTGCTTTCCTTTTAGGCTCGCTGCTGTATCCTTTAACCTTTATTAATATTTCAAGAAAATCGTATATAATCATTACTTTCAAATCAGGATTATGTTCCTGTACTACTTATAATAAGCAGATACTCAATAAATGTTCCCTTCCTCACTTTTATTCTTCCATTAATCTGGAGGAGGGCTTTCAACCTTAACACTATTAACATTTGGGATCAGACAAATGTTTGTTTTAATACAAACTGTAGTTCTGTGAAGTTCTTTAAATATGTCATTTATTCGTTTAGACTATACACAGAAAAAACAGACACCAATTTAACAATTTTTGCGTGTATAATTCACTGAAACAAATTACATTCTTCAAGTGCTGCAACTTGTCCTTCTTATTCAAATTATTCTCCTATTAGTATAAACTCACTGTTCTCCTAAAGTTCTAAATTACTCTCTCAAGTTGTTGTTAATTTATCTCACCATATAGCTAAATTTTTACAAAATTTTTTGAGTGGAAGGTTACAGGTTATATTGATTTTTCATCCAATTATTCATATACATTTTGTTTTATAGTGTTAATTATCACTAACATAATTATGTCTGATCAACTCCTTAATGCATATTGCCTTTCCCTTCACCCAATTTTTCTATTTCTTTTTATTCTCCTCTCACTCCCTTCCTAGCCTTTGTAATCATTCAAAAATGATCTTACCTGAATATGAATTTTCCTTAGCTTTTGATAATAGTGGTTATTACACATTGTGTTTTTTGTGACTGATTTATAAATCCTCAAAAGTCATTCCATGTTGTGCAGGATTTCATACATTATTATATTCTTTTGTTGTGTGCCACTGAGTACGCCCCATAGCAATCCTATGAACAACAGATATGAACACCGTCCTATCCTGTGCCATCCTCATTATCTATGACACAAATTTATTGCTCTCTTTACTGTGTTAATCCATCTCTTTGAGGGTCTTCTTTTTTGCTGACCCTCCACCTTTCCAAGCATGATGTCCCTTTCCGAAGAACAGCCCTTCCTAACAACATGCCTGTCTAGAGAACAGAAAACAGGAAATGAGGGTACAGAGCACATCTATTTGAAAGGAGCAGAAGGATTAAGAATAGCACAGCCTCTTACTGCCCCACAGCAGAAAATAGATATAGAGCCCACAGCCCAGCTCCATGACATCTCTAAAGCCACACCAATAGCAAGAGGTTCATCTATTCATTGCTGACTCACAGCTGTGGCACTGAGAATGGGTTTTATTAGGGAAGTAAGTTGGAGAGTGGAGGAGGCAAAGAATATCACCCAAAACAAGTCCAGGTTTTAGCCTAAGTTTCAAGGCACAAGTTCTCAATTTGTCCAGGCTCTGGTTTCAGTTGAACAGTCAAATGCAAATTATTCAGCAAGGTTTGCCTCAAAGCAGTTATAAGTCAGCTTCTCCTTTAAGCATCCAGAAAGAACAGCAAAACCCTTCTAACTGTGGCTTTTATCTCAGGGTTCCTCTGCTTACACCTTGCCAAAAGGGCTAGAATTTCTCCACAGCAATGTTACAGTCTCTCAACCAATAGAGTTTGGCTTTCATCAGGGTTTTGCTCCAGTCTTCCTCAAGTCTTGATGCTACAAGTCTTGCTCACCTCATATCTTGCTCCCCAGTGTGGAAAGCAGTCTTTCTCTTATTGTAGACCCACAGTTATTGGTATGCAAGACCATGCTGATTTGCAAGGCCATGTATCTACAGTTAAGGTAGCTGGAGACCAAAGAGGACTACCTGTAATGCCTAAAAAAAGCCAATGTTTAAGCTAATACCACCATGCCCAAAGCCTGTGAGGCCAAGTTTCTCCATCTTTGCTGCCAAGGCAGACTTTCTCCAAGATATATCTGGTTTTTCTTTTGGGAGTACACGGGATATTCAGTACTGCACTCTAACACCACATCTCAAAGGCATCAATTCTTCTTTTGTTATCCTTATTTATTGTCGAGCTCTCAGATGCACAGGTAGTGATGGAAAAGACCATGGCCTGAATCAGGCAAACATTAGTCTTTAAACTGACAGTACTGCTCCTCAGTACTTTGGAGAAGTCTCTAACAGCCAACTTTCCCATTGCAACATGTCTTTTGATTTCTTGACTGCTGGTGCCATGGGTGGTGCTTGGAGATCCCTGTAAGACGAAATTTCCTTTGTGTTTGATCTTAGAGGTATAATCACATGCGTTTCTTGAGTACAGCACTTGTCTGTTAGATATACTAAAGCAGAGCTCCCAGATTAAGACTAGGAAGCCTCAGAAACCCTATGGAGGGTTGGCTATGAGTTGTAACCCAATGAATGGCATCTGATTTTTTGATTGGGATTCTTCCAAATATTTTTGGTCAAAACATTCAGTAATGGTAACCAGACGTCCCATCTACATTTATGGTTTCATGACAAAGGAGGCAGTTGTTCATAGAGGCAATTAGCTACTTCATTTCTTCTACCTATTCTTGATTCTTTTTGCTCCAGGTGAATCAAGACAAACTGTTGTACCTTGAATGATCCCTTACAAACTTGTAAGATTAACTATGAAATGAACAGGGGGAAGAAAAGAAGCATTACATTTGCCAATTAACTTGGATGTCCCATGAAACCTCAGGGATGACCCTGAACCTTCAAATTAAGAAAATAAATCCTATAAGATGTTGACTGTACATAGGCAGCATGAGTTGCTATGTTGTTGGTTGTTTTTTTTCTTTTGTTATGCTGGTTGTAAAAATATTTATCATGTCTATCTATCCAACTTTTACAAGTATACAGGTTGTTGTTGTTGTTGTTATGTGCTTTTGAGTCCCCTGCGACTCGTAGCAACTCTATGTACAACAGCCCTAAACCTTGCTCTATCCTGTGCCAAACGCACGGTCTCTGACACACCTACCCTCATTACCTCATCACTGAATCAATCCATCTCATCAAGCATCTTCCTCTTTTGCATTGTCCCTCTACCCTCCCAAGCATGATGCCCCTCTCCAAGGACTGGTGCTTCCTTGTAACATGTCCAAAGTATGTTAGATGAAGGTTCTGAATCCTTGCCTCCAAGGAGCAGCCTGGTCTCCTCCACTCTAGGATGAACCTGTTTGTTCTCCTAGCAGTCCATGGTATATTCAATACTCTTCTCCAGCACCACAACTCAAAGGCATCACTTTTCCTTCTATCATTCTTAGTCATTGTCCAGCTTTCTGATGTATAGTAAGTAATTGCAAAGACTATAGCCTGGATCAGGCACACTTAGTCTCCAGACTGACATAGTTACTCTTCAGTACTTTGGAGAAGTCTCTGACAGCAGACTTTCCCCAATGCAATTAGTCTTTTCATTTCCTGGCTCCTGGTACCAAGAGTGTTGATTGTGGAGCCAAGCAAATGAAAGCTGTTAACAATCTCGGACTCTTCATCATCTATCATTATGCTGCTAATTAGCCCAGTGGTGACAATCTTTGTTTTCTTGATGTTGAGTTTCAATCCATATTGAAGGCTGCAGTCCTTAACCTTGTGCAGCAAGTGCTTCAGGGTCCTCCTCAGTTTCAGCAAGCAGGGTTGTGTCATCTGCATAACACAGATTGTTGATGAGTCTTCCTCCAAACCTGATGCCACATTTCTCCTCATAGAGTCCAGCCTCCTGCATAATTTGTTCTGCATACAGATTGAAAAGGTATGGAGATAGGACACATCCCTGGTGTACATACTTCCCAGTTTTGAACCATGCAGTGATTCCTTGCTCTGTTCTGATGACTGCCTCCTGGTCCAAGTAAAGGTTTCACATAAGCACAAACAAGTGCTCAGGGATTCCCATTCTTCTCAGAGTCAGCCACAGTTTGTTGTGATCCACACAGTTAAATGCCTTTGCACAGTCAATGAAACACAGATTGCCATCAATTACTTTACTAACCGGCTGAGCAACACTAGATTTTCTATCACCATAGACAGAAA